TCCTCCCATCACATCAGACCCCTCCCCCCACACCACATCAGAGGTCTTTCCATCACATCGGACCCTCCATTTTACATGATAGTCCCTCCTTCATGTCAGAGCCCCTCATCACATAAGAGTCCCCTTTCTTCACATCAAAGTCCCCCCCTATACATAAGAGTCTCCCCATTACCACAGAGTCCTTCCCATGACAGAATCAGAGCCCCCCATCACATCAGAGTAACCTCTTGATAGTGTCCCCTCATCACCACAGATTCCCCCCATCACAGAGGTCTCTTTGACCCAGGGCAAACTGGGTCTCGTAGGAAACCCTAAGTCATACCCCAGAATGCTGTGGCATCCTAGTTGAAAAACACCAAGTTATAGTATATCGTAAGCCAAAGCATTTTTTCTATAAAGTAGTGAAAAGTTAAAGAATGAAAAGCAAAACTATTTTTTTTTTAAATTTTGGATAGAGTAAGGGCCCATTCACTGAAGATGCAGTTGGATACATTTTTGGCTTCACTCCAACTGTACATAAAGTCCAAAGGATAAAAGTTTTTTGAGGAGTAGGGGGTGGTCAACCATATCAAAGGTGGGCGAAAGGTCTAGAAGTAGTAGTACAGAATAGTGTTCATTGGTTTTAGCTGTTAGTAAATCGTTTGTGAGTTTTAGAAAAGCAGTTTCTGTGGATTGTTGAGGGTGAAATCCAGACTAAAGGGGATCAAGAAGGTTATTCTTAATGAGGTGGTCGCTCGGTTGTAGACCAGGTGTTCAAGGAGTTTGGTGGAAAATGGCAGCAAGGAGATGGGATGTAGGTTGTTAAGACTGGTGGGCTCCAAGGAAGGCTTTTTAAGTTTGGGGGTGACTAGTGCATGTTTTTAGAGTGTTGGGGAAGGTGCTTGAAGAGAAGAGAAAATTGAAGATGGGAGTTAGAAAGTGTAGGATAGTGCCAGAGGGTGACTGAACTATTTGAGAGGGAATAGGGTCCAGGGGGCATGAGGTTAGGTGGACGGTCGAAAAAAGTTTAGCAACTTTGTCTATAGTAGTGGGGCTGAATAAGGTAAGTGTTGAGTGTACCAGTGAACATGGGGTGTTAAGTGAGGGGGATATCTGTAGAGTAGAGACTTCATCACAAATTGTATCGATCTTATTTTTGAAGAGATTGGCGATCTCATGGCCAGATGGACTGAGTTAGTGGATGGAGACAGTGGAAGACGAAGTAGAACATTAAAAATAGAGAAGAGTTGACAGTTGAAGTCATTGTGAGACTTATTCTTACGCCACAGATGCTCAATTTTATGAGACTTCTGGTGTCATCTGTTTGCCAGGGTTGTAGGGGTCAGGCCTGATTTTGTGTGTAGTGGGGGGGGGGGGCGAGTTCATCCAGGCTGGAGGACAAGGATCTATTGTAGACAGAAGTGGCTAGATTGGGACAGGACAATGGTGAAATTTTGTCATAGAGGTGGTCAGTAGCAGAATAGAGAAGAGAAGGGTTGAAGTGGCGAAGGTTGAAAAGAGGGGGAGAGAGTGAGACTAATAAGGGGGTGATCAGAGAAAGGAAAAGGATTGTTGGAGAGATTGCACGGAGTGCATAGATAGGAGAATACAAGGTCAAAGGTGTTGCCATTGGATTGAGTAGAAGCCTGTATCAAATGCTTCAGGTAAAATGAGGAGGTTAGACTGAGAAGTTTCTAGCTCTGAGGAAGAAGCTAGAAATGCGTCAGCTGTACTGAATATCCATCCCCTCGATGGGATTCGCGCTATCTTCAAGTCTCTTTGAGGACTTACATGCCTGATTTTATTCGCTGTTTGTGAGTATTTTTTATAATTAATACATTTTGGTTACTGAGGTAATGCGCAAGGTTGGTGCGCTTCTCGTTTTCATTTCGTTCTGAGAAGTTTAGAAGTAGTGGAGTGTTAGTATTAACAGGGATGTTGAAGCTGAGAATGATTGTGGGAATTTCAGAAGAAAGCCAGGCAGAGAAGCCATCAACGAAAGTTGATACCAGTCCAGGGGGCCGGTAAATCACAGCAAATCTTAAAGAAATTGGAGAAAATAGACGTATACAGTAAGCGTCAAATGATGAGAGGGAGGAGAGTATAGAACCTGAAAGGCGCTGTGTGAGGATAGGAGGATTCCCACTCCACCTCCCTTGCATTCACTGGGTCTGGGGGAGTGAGTTCAGAGGAGGCCACCATGGGAGAGGGAAGTAGGAGAAGCAGTGTCAGATTCATGAAGCAAGGTTTCAGTGACAGCAAGTAGATTAAAGGAGTTAGTGACAAAGAGGTTGTGAACAGAGGTGAAATTGTTGCAGACAGAGAGGGCATTTGAGAAGGCACAGGAGAAGGGGAGGCTGGTTTTGGGAAGAAGAAGATGAATGGAAGCTAAATTGTGTGGGATTGCGGCTGCTGCCAGAGCATACAGGGTGATGGGTGCATTGGCCCAGGGTTTGGGGATACATCTGCAGAAGTTAGGAGAAGAATAAGGGTGAGGGAGGTAATATGAGAGTGTGATTTATATTAGGGGACGTGTCTCAGCATCCGGGGGGGGATGGGGGGGATTTAATGGCATGTGGGATTAGAATTTAGGACAAGATGATGAGTGCAGTAATAAGAGGAGGACAGAAGTGAGGGTGATATATACAGATTTTTGGGTGGAGAAGAGGGGTGAAGGAAACAGAGTTTAAGGAGAGAGGATACAATTGTGAAAAGGAGCGGTAGGGAGCGCATGTTACAGAGAGAAAGGAGAGCTGAATGGGGAAACGAGGTCACCTGCAGTCTGGTGTTTTGCAGAGTAGCCTGCTGTAGATGTTCGATACTACAGTGGTATCCACAATCATCCAGGTTCTATGCAAGCAATAAAACAATGCCCTGGGGTTTGCTTGCTCGGCACCACAGTCTTTAATCTGTTCCAGGGAATACAAGGCAATCTCTGATTGGATGAGCAGGGTTGGTCACATCACAGTCTCCACTTCATCCAATCAGAGAATGCTTTGGTGTCTCCAGAATTTCATGGCAAGAATTTGGTGATTGAACTATTGTTCTGGACCTTGAGTGTCAGTGTGTCATTATTTTGGACCCTGAGTGCCAAGGTGTTATTTTTCTGGGCGGAATGTATGAGTGGGAGAATGGAGGTTGGGTTGTGGAAAGTGCAAAATCTGATACAGCTGTGCATGGTAGCCAGTTAGCTTTTAACTTCAGCTTGTTCAATTACGTTTTGACAAAAAAATGTAGAAGCTGATTGGTTCTAAGCACAGCTGCACCCGCTTTTGCATTCTCCAGTTTTAGTAAATAAACCCCAGTGTGTCTTTAGTTTTAGTGCCAAATGTCATTGTATCCATATTCTGGGCCCATTGTTTCAGACTGTCAATAGTCTGGTCCACAAGAGGTCTACTTATTAAAAACAATTGCCATAATATATCTAATATGTGTATGGTTTTTATAGATTGTCAGCTCCATCTAGTGGCCGTAATGCAGTTTTTTCCTGAAATTCTTCAATTAAGAAAATACCACATTATGGCCACTGGATGGAGCTGACAATAGCAGGAAACAAACATCTTACACACATTATGGCAATTTGTGACAGCTGTGATAATGCCAAGCCATTTACACAGCAAATGTTTTATAAATAGACCCCAAAGTGCCAGGGTGTCTTTTTTTCTGGGTCATAAGTGTTGTTTTCTTTGATGATGTGACACTGTGCCTTTATTCTGGGACCTCAAGTGTCACTGGAGTTAATTTACAACAGGAGTAAAGGCTGTTTATGTAACAAGGTGTTCACTTTGTAAAGTGTATATTCACTTAGCTTAGTAAAAATGTGATGTTCAACTAAGATTTGCATATGATCGGATGATTGAATTGAACACAACTTCACCTCCTTCACTAAGCTTAGTGAACATTCACTTTGCTAAATAAAATATGATTTAGAATATGAAGATGCTCTATTCCTTTAGTAAATTGACTCCATGGAGGCCTTTTTGGGACCCCAATGGGTTTATTTACTAAAGCTGAAGAGTGCAAAATCAGGCTTACTTCTGCAAAGAAACCATCTGCTGCCAAAGCTTACTTGATCAACAACAAAGTTAGAAGCTGATTGGATTCTATGAAGTGAACCTGGTTTTGCGCTCTCCCAGCTTTAGCAAATAAACCCCCTAATGTCAATGTGCAGTTCAGTTTTGGGCACCAATTCACAAAAAAGAACATTGGGGAACTGGAGGAAGTACATAGAAGGGCAACCAAACTGATAAGAGGCATGGAGGAGCTCAGCTATGAGGAGAGATTAGAAGAACGGAATCTATTCTCTCCTGAGAAGAGGAGATTAAGGGTGGATATAATCTCCATGTATAAATATAATACATAAGGGGGATATGATCTCCATGTATAATACATAAGGGGGGGATATGATCTCCATGTATAATACATAAGGGGGATATGATCTCCATGTATAATACATAAGGGGGGATATGATCTCCATGTATAATACATAAGGGGGATATGATCTCCATGTATAATACATAAGGGGGGATATGATCACCATGTATAATACATAAGGGGGGATATGATCTCCATGTATAATACATAAGGGGGGATATGATCTCCATGTATAATACATAAGGGGGATATGATCACCATGTATAATACATAAGGGGGGATATGATCACCATGTATAATACATAAGGGGGGATATGATCAACATGTATAATACATAAGGGGGTATATGATCTCCATGTATAATACATAAGGGGGGATATGATCTCCATGTATAATACATAAGGGGGATATGATCTCCATGTATAATACATAAGGGGGGATATGATCTCCATGTATAATACATAAGGGGGATATGATCTCTATGTGTAATACATAAGGGTGTCTATGCTCTCCATGTATAATACATAAGGGGGGGTATGATCTCCATGTATAATACATAAGGGGGGATATGATCTCCATGTATAATACATAAGGGGGATATGATTTCCATGTATATTACACTGGCCACCAATGTAGGAGCATTCATCCCACTGACCACCAATGTAAGGAGCATTCTTCCTACCAACCACCAATGTAAGGACCATTCTTCCCACTGACCACCAATGTAAGGAGCATTCTTCCCACTGACCTCCAATGTAAGGAGCATTCATCCCACTGATCACCAATGTAAGGAGCATTCATCCCACTGGCTATCAATGTAAGGAGCATTCATCCCACTGACCACCAATGTAAGGAGCATTCATCCCACTGGCCACCAATGTAAGGAGCATTCTCCCACTGATCACCAATGTAAGGAGCATTCATCCCACTGACCCCCAATGTAAGGAGCATTCATCTCACTGACCACCATGTAAGGAGCATTCTTCCCACTGGCCACCAATGTAGGAGCATTCTTCCTACCAACCACCAATGGTAAGGACTATTCTTCCCCTGACCACCAATGTAAGGAGCATTCTCCCACTGACCTCCAATGTAAGGAGCATTCATCCCACTGACTGCCAATGTAAGGAGCATTCATCCCACTGGCTATCAATGTGAGGAGCATTCATCCCACTGACCACCAATGTAAGGAGCATTCATCTCACTGACCACCAATGTAAGGAGCATTCTTCCCAACTGGCCACCAATGTAGGAGCATTCTTCCTACCAACCACCAATGTAAGGACCATTCTTCCCCCTGACCACCAATGTAAGGGGGGCATTCTTCCCCCTGACCACCAATGTAAGGAGCATTCTTCCCACTGACCTCCAATGTAAGGAGCATTCATCCCACTGACTGCCAATGTGAGGAGCATTCATCCCAATGACCGCCAATGTAAGGGCATTCTTCCCACTGGCCACCAATGTAGGAGCATTCATCCCACTGGCCACCAATGTAAGGAGCATTCATCCCACTGACCACCAATGTAAGGAGCATTCATCCCACTGGCCACCAATGTAAGGAGCATTCTTCCTACTGGCCACCAATGTAAGGAGCATTCTTCCCACTGGCCACCAATGTAGGAGCATTCATCCCACATGGCTACCAATGTAAGGATTATTCATCCCACTTTAACACTTGTCCAATGCTTAAAACGCTTCAAAACACACGTAGGGCATTTGGGGAGTGTTTTTAAACACTTGTTTAAAGCCATTCTTGCAAATGACCACCAACTTAAGCAGCACTCTTCCCACTAACCACCTTGATAAGGAGCATTCTTACCACTGATCACCAATGTAAGGAGCATTCTTCCCACTGACCGCCAATGTAAGGTGGGATATGATCACCATGTATAATACAAAAGGGGGAATATGAGCTCCATGTATAATACACAAGGGGGCACTCTTTACGTCTGGAGGAAAAGAATTTTAATCTCCAAACACGGAAAGGTTTCTTCACAGTAAGAGCTGTGAAAATGTGGAATAGACTCCCTCAAGAGTTGGTTCTGGCCAGCTCAGTGGATTGCTTTAAAAATAGTCCTGGATTTTTTCTTGGATACACAGAATATAACTGGATACTAACACTTATAGGTAAAGTTGATCCAGGGAATATCCAACTGTCTCTCTCAGGGGATCACTAAGGAATTTTTTTCCCTGCAGGAGCAAATTGGATCATGCTTTGCTAGGTTTTTATGCCTTCCTGTGGATCAACTGTGGGTATAGGATTATAACTATGTAAATGTGCCATTATTTTAGGCCCAATTGTCAGCTTGCTATTTTATTTTTTTATGACCCAGTGCTAATGTGACATTATTTTGGACACCCAACAAAACCATACTGACCAATGGGATCACAGCCGATGAACCAAAACAGTACTTTGCTACCTATTCTCTTATTTCAAATACATATTTCACCCAAACCGAGGAATGCTGTTTGTGTGGTCATGGTCTGTTTATATATCACCCTTTTTCAAAGGCCTGCATAGCTATCTATTACATAGTATCAGTTTCACTATTTTCGGCTTTAGTTCCTTGGGGCAATCTGTCTATGTTTTAGTTATCCTGAATAGTAAACGCCAGTTGGGAATGACACAAATGCTCCATGAAAGATTGAATCCTCCTGACCCTACACTGTCATTGTGCACATAACTTCTCAGCATGCACCTGATGAGGGTTCCCAAATAGCTTCTGCCTCCCAGTCATAGGGTGGGTCAGGAGTTCACAAAATGGATTGGAGCTGACATGATTATGCTGGTTGTGAGATTAACTTCTCCTCCAGTCTTAACCAATAAATGCATCTCTTTATAGATAGACGCAAATTACCCCATGTAAACACCAGTTTTCTCAGTGCTGTTAGCAATTTCCAGCAACACAACACACAGCTCACCGTTGCATGAAAACATTTTTTCAGTGGAGGTGATTCACATTCCTATATGAATAAAAGTGGAAAATATAAATGTAAAATGCCTTAGAGTGGAGCAGCCTTTCTCAGAGTTATGTGGATCCCCTGGGTTCCTCCAGAGTTCAGTAGGGGTTCCTTGAGCAATAAGACCTTTTTGCCTCTCAGATGTGTATTCACTGACACCAATCAACATATATTCTTTATTAGCTCTCTGTAAGAGGGTACATTCTTTAAACTACCCCCCAATGTAAGGAGCATTCATCCCACTGATCACCAATGTAAGGAGCATTCATCCCACTGGCTATCAATGTAAGGAGCATTCATCCCACTGACCACCAATGTAAGGAGCATTCTTCCCACTGGCCACCAATGTAGGAGCATTCATCCCACTGACCACCAATGTAAGGAGCATTCTTCCTACCAACCACCAATGTAAGGACCATTTTTCCCACTGACCACCAATGTAAGGAGCATTCTTCCCACTGACCTCCAATGTAAGGAGCATTCATCCCACTGATCACCAATGTAAGGAGCATTCATCCCACTGGCTATCAATGTAAGGAGCATTCATCCCACTGACCACCAATGTAAGGAGCATTCATCCCACTGGCCACCAATGTAAGGAGCATTCATCCCACTGATCACCAATGTAAGGAGCATTCATCCCACTGACCCCCAATGTAAGGAGCATTCATCTCACTGACCACCAATGTAAGGAGCATTCTTCCCACTGGCCACCAATGTAGGAGCATTCTTCCTACCAACCACCAATGTAAGGACTATTCTTCCCCCTGACCACCAATGTAAGGAGCATTCTTCCCACTGACCTCCAATGTAAGGAGCATTCATCCCACTGGCTATCAATGTGAGGAGCATTCATCCCACTGACCACCAATGTAAGGATCATTCATCTCACTGACCACCAATGTAAGGAGCATTCTTCCCAACTGGCCACCAATGTAGGAGCATTCTTCCTACCAACCACCAATGTAAGGACCATTCTTCCCCCTGACCACCAATGTAAGGGGCATTCTTCCCCCTGACCACCAATGTAAGGAGCATTCTTCCCACTGACCTCCAATGTAAGGAGCATTCATCCCACTGACTGCCAATGTGAGGAGCATTCATCCCAATGACCGCCAATGTAAGGGCATTCTTCCCACTGGCCACCAATGTAGGAGCATTCATCCCACTGGCCACCAATGTAAGGAGCATTCATCCCACTGACCACCAATGTAAGGAGCATTCATCCCACTGGCCACCAATGTAAGGAGCATTCTTCCTACTGGCCACCAATGTAGGAGCATTCTTCCCACTGGCCACCAATGTAGGAGCATTCTTCCCACTGGCCACCAATGTAGGAGCATTCATCCCACTGGCTACCAATGTAAGGATTATTCATCCCACTTTAACACTTGTCCAATGCTTAAAACGCTTCAAAACTACACGTAGGGCATTTGGGGAGTGTTTTTAACACTTGTTTAAAGCCATTCTTGCAAATGACCACCAACTTAAGCAGCACTCTTCCCACTAACCACCTTGATAAGGAGCATTCTTACCACTGATCACCAATGTAAGGAGCATTCTTCCCACTGACCGCCAATGTAAGGCGGACCTTCTTCTCTGACCACCAATGTAAGGAGTATTCTTCCAAATTTTTCTTTATTAAATTTCTTGCAATCAATAAATATAAAAGCCTTATACAGAATATACATAAATAGATGCATATATACATATTTACACAAAAAAAAGAAAATAAATACAGCAAATTCTGCTCTTAACCAAAGGATGACTTATAGCAAAAGAAAAAGCTCATAAATGAACATATCATTACTTGGGGGAAGATAAATCTTACTATGAATCAATTCACTACACCAGACATCAAACCTGTGGGGTCAAGAAACAAACCCTCCCCCGTCATGCACACAGAAAGAAGATACTAACCAACAAAAACTAAGGGAGTGAAAACAATAACATAAGAAAAGAGCTCCTCACCCAGAGATAGACAGTTCACCAAAGGCAGGTCTAATATTCCTCCACTCCTTTATCCAGACCGCCCGAGGCCCCCTGCCCTTTTCAATACCTCAAATCTTCTCAATCTCACCCAGAATATCATGCACCATCACCTCAACAGGGAAGACTTTCTTCTGCAGGGTAATCGAGCATTGTGCATTCCATGTGAAGTAACAGAAAACTTTATGAACTAGAAAAAGTGTATCCAAATTAAAATTCCCAGCGAGTCAGGAATGCCCCGTACACCCACTCGGCATAACATGCGATAGAGGAAGAGAGTAGGGTCTCTGCTAACATATTAGGAGCTTTCTTCCAACTGACCACCAATGTAAGTGCGTGCTTCCCAGTAGTATTTGATTTTACTAGTAGGGGGCATACCCACAATCTTATCAGCAGTGTGTATAGCTGAGGGAAAGGGGGGGGGGGCTGATCATTGAACTAGTGTTCTACCACGTGTGGTAAGTGGAAGCTGGTTTGTTCTGTAAGATTTCTAACAGTCTGATTGAAATGTTACAAAGAAAAGACCGTCACCAGAACATTTCCCAAAAATGTATGGGCAGTGTGAAAACTAATTTATATTGTCAGCATGGAAACTGGACCATGAGAACCTCCTAGATACCCATAAGCCCAACCAGGAATTTTTTATTTTTTTAATGATCTCTTAATATTGCCTTCTTCTGGAGCTAGAGAGGGATCAGACTTGCAAATACGGGCGATTACATCGGTGTTATTTCCCAATCTGCACTGGATGAACCATCCTCAGAACAGATAACACAGCCTGGGTGTAATGTGTTTGTACTGCTCACATCAATTATCTCCTGCGGACTACACAGAGCTTCCATAATTATATGTTACACTCAGGCAGGTAAATGCTAATTTAAAGGGATCTATTGTATAGTTGGACTGTAAACATTTTCCTAAGCAGCGGTTTTGTTTAATAAACTCATCACCCGGCTTTTTTCTTTTCGAAAAGGATGAGACAGTTTTTGAACGATGTAAGCTCTGACTCTGCAGATTGCAGGAAGGATTACCATTGCAAAGATCCCACAGATCATACTCAATCTTTACTAGAACATAGAAACACCATACACAGGGTCATTTAAAAAGAAAATGGATAGACAGACAGACAGAGAGATAGATAGATAGATAGATAGATACATAGATAGATAGATAGATAGATAGATAGATAGATATAGATAGATAGATAGATAGATAGATATGTAGCCTAGGTAAACTTAATTCCGCTCCTCTGTAATTAGTGGAGCAGGGGTTGTCTACTTAGGGCTGCTCAGGGTTTCATAGGCTGCTGCTCTGATACTTCGCTCCAGGGGCGGACTGACCATTTGGAAACTCGGGCACTGCCCGAGGCCCCAGGGTCAGTAGGGGGCCCCCATGAGATGCCCCTGGTACCTTTTTCATAGGCTTTTTTGAGTTTGGGCAAGGACACAGGGGCCCCATGATCCCCAATTGCCCGGGGGCACCATGAGTTGTCAGTCCGCCCCTGCATCGCTCCATCTTTTAGAGGTTTCTAGAACTGACACCTAATGGGAGGAAGGACAGAGTGGATATTTATGGGACTCTAACCAATCCCTGGAGAGGTGTGCCTAGAAGATGGAGAGAGAGCCCATGAGTAATTTGAAGCCTGAGCAGCAAGGGGCAGTGTTCCTGGGTCCAGTCCTGCAAGAGGAGACCCCTGTGCAGGGGCTCTACCCCCTAGGGTAGAACTATGGGAGGAAGCCACCCTAAAGACACCTAGATGCAAGCTAGGCTTAGGTGGGGGGGGGGGGGGGCACAGGTTCTAGCTTAAGGATCCAGTTGGCTCAGGAGAAAGCTCACGGGAGGAATGAGGGAGGAAGCTGTGGGAGAGAGTCCAGGATGTCCAGTAGTGGTGTGAGTATTCATTTCTCTCATTGGGAAAGATTCTGGTGGATATCAGCAGGAGGCCTAGGATGATCCTGGGGCTAAGTGAGTACAAGACCCTAGTTTTGCAAGCCACAGTCAGCATGAAGATCTTATGGGATATTTATTTTTCAAGCACAGTACAGCCAGGAGTTGTGCAATACAGCCAGGGATGCATGCATGATAGATAGATAGATAGATAGATAGATAGATTGATTGATTGATTGATTGATTGATAGATTGATTGATAGATTGATTGATAGATTGATAGATAGATTGATAGATAATAAAGATAGATAGACAGACAGACAGACAGACAGACAGACAGACAGACAGACAGACAGACAGACAGACAGACAGACAGATAGATAGATAGATAGATAGATAGATAGATAGATAGATAGATAGATAGATAGATATATAGATAATAAAGATAGATAGATGATAAACATAGATAGATAGATAGATAGATAGATAGATAGATAGATTGATAGATAATAAAGATAGATAGATGATAAACATTGATAGATAGATAGATAGATAGATAGATAGATAGATAGATAGATAGATAGATAGATACGTTAGGTCCATATATATTAGGACACAGGAAGAATTTTGGATTTTTTGAGGCATTTACCAAAACATATTCAAGCTATAGTTATATAATGGATATGGGCTGAAAGTGCACACTCTCAGGTTTAATTTGAGGGTATGTACATCCAAATTGGAGGAAGGGTTTAGGAATTACAGCTCTAAGGGTAGCCATCCCCCCTTATTCAAGGGGATCAAAATTAATTGGACAATTGAATCTAATCATAAATAAAATGTGCATTTTTAATATTTTGTTGAGAATCCTTTACTGGCAATGACTGCCTGAAGTCTGGAACCCATGGACATTACCAAAGACTGGGTTTCCTCCTTTCTGATGCTTTGCTAGGCTCTAACTGCAGTTGTCTTCAGTTGTTCTTTGTTTGTGGATCTTTCTGCCTATCACCTTTGTTGCATTTGGCTGAATCCGGGCTGACAGTATATCTCTAAACATTGCAGAATTCATCCGGCTGCTTCTGTCTTCTGTCACATCATCAATAAACACCAATGACCCAGTGCCACTGGAAGCCATGCATGCCCATGCCATCACACTGCCTCCACCATGTTTTACAGATGACGTTGTGTGCTTTGGATCATGAGCTGTTCCAAGCCTTCTTAACACTTTTTTCTTCCCATCATTCTGGTACAGATTAATCTTAGTTTCATCCGTCCAAAGAATGCTTTTCCAGAACTGGTCTGGCTCTTTTAGATGTTTTTTGGCAAAGTCTAATCTGGCTTTTCTATTCTTCAGGCTTATGAATGGTTTGTACCTTGAGGTGAACCCTCTGTATTTACTCTCGTGAAGTCTTCTCTTGATTGTAGACTTTGACAATGATATGCCCACCTCCTGGAGAGTGTCCTTCACTTGTCTGGATGTTGTGAATGGGTTTTTCTTTACCATAGAGAGGATCCTGCGATCATCTACCACTGTTGTCTTCCATGGACGTCCATGCCTTTTATGTTGCTGAGCTCACCATTGCGTTCTTCTTTCCCCAGAATGTACCAAACTGTTGATTTGGCCACTCCTAATGTTGCTGCTATCTCTCTTATCTATCTGATGGATTTGTTTCGTTTTTGAAGCCTGTTTCACTTGCATGGACAGCTCCTTTGAATGCATGATGCAGGTTCACGGCAATAGATTTCAAATGAAAATACCACACTTAGAATCAACTCCAGACCTTTTACCTGCTTAATTGATCAAGAAATAACAAGGAGTAGCCCACACCTGGCCATGAAATAGCTTTTGATTCAATTGTCCAATTACTTTTGGTCCCTTGAAAAAGGGAGGATGGCTACTCTTAAGAGCTGAACACCTAAACCCTTCTTCCTATTTGGATGTACATACCCTCAAATTAAACCTGAGAGTGTGCACTTTCAGCCCATATCCATTATGTAACTATAGCTTGAATATGTTTTGGTCAATACCTGAAAATCTAAAATTGTGCCTGTGTCCGAATATATATGGACCTAAGTGTAGATAGACAGATGATGTACTGCTCTGCAGTATAATAACATCTACTGTATATAACTGTAGTGCGGTCCCCTCTCTTGCCTCTTCTATGACGTGGTCCTGCCAGGTGTCTGTATACCTGAACACTCATTTTTCACATAATAATAATTTAAGTTTATTTCTGGACGTGTTTTATAAACAGGTACTCCCTACAATACAAACTATGTCTTTCTGTTTATAAAACATGACTATAAGTATGTGCTGATAGCCTGTAACATGTTACACACATGAGGATATTCAGCAAGGCATACTCTGTCTTAGTAGTGTAGGTTT